TATAGCTAAAAGCTTCCGGCTGGGGGGAGCCTATTTTTATTATAAAAAACTTTGAGTGACCCCCGCTGCTAATTTATCCCCCGCGCATCCGCCCCCCCGTTTTCATATACAGGGTGTCCCAAAAAAAAACCCCCCTCGGCATTTGGCCGTCTTCTATCGGATCGGTGCCAAATTTTTACCAGTGATGGGGACCCATAAAAACTATGTGCAGCCAAATTTTCTAAGCAAAATATTGTAAAACCAAAAAGTTAGCGCTAAAAAACTGATTTTTGGAAAACGCTGGTACTCGTTTTTGGCTATGTTTTCGCAATTAGCATGCGGATTTTGAGTAATTTTCCAAAAAATGGTCATTTCTCGGTCGGTTTCTGGCAATTTCGATAATAAAAAGTGATCGAAAGGCCCAATTTAAACGGAATTTTCGTGATTAAAAAAATTTTTACAGGTTGAAAAGAGCGCCTTCTTCATTTTTGCTAAACATTTCGAGGCCGAAATCCGTCAAAATCCTAGTAAAATCGGCAAAATTAACCTTAATTTTGATATATCTTCTTTGTTTTACAATATTTTGCTTAGAAAATCCGGCTGCACATAGTTTTTATGGGTCCCCATCACTGGTAAAAATTTGGTCCCGATTGGAAAGAAGACGGCCAAATGCCGAGGGGGTTTTTTTTGGGACGCCCTGTAAGTACCGCAAAAGTCAGTATCAGTCAGTAGCGTTCAATCAAGAGGCGACCAAAGTTCCGCTTAGACGTCTCGTTGTTGACGCGGATTCGCTTGCCATCTGCTCGGAAATGTTCCTCAAATAGTTGACCCCGAAACAGCGAACGAATTTGAATCTTAACAATTTTTCTGTGTCCTGCCTTCCATTCGGCAACCCAACCGTCAATTAGCGATTGGATTTGTTTGCGGCATGCGGTAATGATGTTCATAGAAAAGATGCGGCATTTTAGCCGGGAAGCCAGTTCCGGACTAGGCACATCGGAAAAGCTGCATTCCTGGATGTTGGCTTTGGCGTACTTGATGAACCGTAGGGTGCGTTTGTCACCTGAAAGATGTACACGCCGATATTTACGTCTCACAAGGAGATGGTCTCAGCTGGGAATCGAATTCGGATTTGAAAATTTGCACAATTATAGAGCTCGACGAGACAAATCGATTGGTGTAATTTTCAGCTGCTGATACAATAACCACGCCGAGTTATAAGCTTTTTAAGTTTTTGCATACATTTTGCATTTTTTCAGCCATAGCTTCATAGGCCTTCCCCGCCTCCCTCTCACCATCGTCTGGTGGCCTAGTGGTGTAGCAGGCAGCCTCCGGGGAATCTAACGAGGGTTCGAACCCGCTCACGATTTTTATTTTTTGCTTTTTCGTCCGAAGGTTCCTCTTTGCTTTCTGAGGACCTTGTATAACTTTTTACGCATTATTTTAACTCCTCTGGTGCGAAATGGCTAAAAAACATCACTTTGAAAAAATTTAGATTTTTTTACCCGAAAGGACTATGCCGGCCCCAAAATAAATTGAAAATTCAAAGCATATCAAAAATCGTGGAGTAAACGTAATTTTGGTAAATGGTGTGTTATCCGAACAAAAACTTTCGTCCGCGAAAATTTTTTGGAAATGGTAGTCATAGGTCGGACAAGGGCTTGATGCCCAGCCAGAAAGATTTTTGCGGTGAAGTTCGATGTTGTCGGAGCATCAGAGGAGTTAAAATAATGCGTAAAAAGTTATACAAGGTCCTCAGAAAGCAAAGAGGAACCTTTGGACAAAAAAGCAAAAAATAAAAATCGTGAGCGGGTTCGAACCCTCGTTAGATTCACCGGAGGTCGCCTGCTACACCACTAGGCCACCAGACGATGGTGAGAGGGAGGCGGGGAAGGCCTATGAAGCTATGGCTGAAAAAATGCAAAATGTATGCAAAAATTTAAAAAGCTGATAACTCGGCGTGGTTATTGTATCAGCAGCTGAATGTTACACCAATCGATTTGTCTCGTCGAGCTCTATAAGTGTGCAAATTTTCAAATCCGAATTCGATTCCCAGCTGAGACCATCTCCTTGTCAGCGGCTTCAGCATCTTCAGTAACGCGATCATTCGAGCTTCATCCATTTCCATACGGTCAAATAGGGTCAGGTTGCGCGCCTTCATCCCGTATGGTATCAGCGGCGAACCGTGCATTAAATTCTAGCGCTAGCCACGGTAGTTCCGGAAAACAGCAATTCCTGTGTGCAGGCCCGTAAGAGGGGGGCGAGGGGCGAGCCGCCCCGAAATCGGCCGAAGGCCGAAAAGTTCATAAGGGAGGACCCTTATGATTTAATTTTTCCAAAAATTTTTTTGCCTGCGGCGCTGTTTTTGTCTATTTTTAACACTAGTTTTAGTGTTATAAACCCTATGTTTTCAAAAATTTTGCCTGCGGCGCTGTAGTTTTAGTCATATTAGTGAAAAATTTTTGGGGTCGCCCCCCCCCCGAAATTTGGGTTTGTTACGGCCCTGCCTGTGTGCGACGACTGTGGAGCCGGATAAGGGTACACCGGTTAAAAATGTCGACGAAATCTGGCGTGACATCGACTGTGTAATCCATCCGATTGTCATTCGATTCCTCGGTCAATTTCCAGAGCCATTGATTTGCGAGCGCATAGCGGAAGCGAGTTGTCGGGTCGGCGCTTCCCAGGAAATCCATGAGACGGCGATGAAAGGTGATGGGCAGGTGGAGAAAATCCATGGAGCTCTTCGACTGAAAATCAATATTTTTTTGGATATGGGATTAAATGTGTAATAGCTGGAGGAGCAAAATCAATAAAAAGCAAGGTGAGCTGTGAAGACAAGAAAAATGGCTCGTTTTTTAGCCGAGGGCTTTCCGAAACTGATAACGGTCACATAATTGTCTAATCTTCTCCAGGCAGCTGATTGTTTTTGGATTTCTTTTTCGTGTATTTTCTCCGTGCTCCTGCCAAATTCTGCGGCCAATAGGTCACCAGGATGTTTTATCAAAACAAAAAATCGTAGTCAAGGACGAGATTAGGCAGGAAAATATTTATTCAATGCTCTTAGGTACACATAATTTAACGGTTCTGATATAGTTTCTTCAAATAAAAATAGATTTAAACATGTTCGTGGTTTTCGGGCCATGAAAAGGTTCTTACGTAATTGTCTGATCATTATTATTAGTATGGTTTTTGGGCCTCTATCGAAAGTCGTTTCAAAATATCAAAAAACATTGAAAATGCTGAAAACCTAGTTTTCTCCGTCACCCGTCTGCCTGGAATCACATGCATTAGGCAAAAGAGTAGAAGCATTTATCATTCTTTCAGCATAGTTCGATTGTATAACGTGTTTTCCGCCATAACACATAACACACAATCGACTCGAATTGGCTTTCCACCCGCTCGCACGTGCTACTCATCAGCGATCGACAACAACAGCAAAGCTGGGTCATTCCAACTCCGCCGCCAGTGGTCCCCTGACAGGCTGAGGAAATACACAATAATGGATATTGTCATTTGCATAGTCGATAAAATCCCAGGTGGCATTAAGTATCTTTGCAAAAAAAATCGACGCGCAAGTATTTTCCTCGCTCAGGCTTCATTTTTTTCAATACGCTTAGCGCGGAATTTTCGTCCAACGCGCTAAGGAAGATTACACTTCGAGCCCTCAGGCCATGTGGAATCGGGAACGTCTGATCGACCACAACTTCCTTCGCTGTTGACCCGGAAAAGAAGTAGTTCCTGGGTGCGCCGATTTTCCAGCCAGGTTTTCGAGGCGCCAGCCCAAACCATTATGCCAAGCGGAGCTATTCTGATTGTGTAATCGTTATGGTTATCGGTCGATTCCTCGGTCCATTTCCAGAGCCATTTACATGAGCGTGCATAGCGGAATCGGGTCTCCGGGTCAGCGCTTCCAATAAAATCGAGAAGACGTCGGTGGAAGGTGACGGGCAAATCGAGGAAATCCATCGTTCTTTACCTGGAAGGAGAGAATGTACGCCTTGCGCATCGTGGAGACAAAGGGGACCCAAAAAAACCGCAACCGCAATGGTAACGGAATGCAACGGAATGCAACTGGAAAGGGCTGCCGTCTTAATTCCATGGAGTTTCGAAATGGGACCGAACCTGATTTGTGCTGAACTTCGGTTGATTAAAACGTCGTTTTTAGAAACCGCAAAACGACCAAAATACAAAAGTTCTGGGCCGTTGAAGGTCAAAAAACGGCCAAATAGAGGGGGTTTGAGGGGGTTTTGACAGTTCAAAGCTGCGCAACTTTACAAATACGGCCGTTTTGCTGATTTCAAATACGGTGACATTTTGATCAAGATTTCGAACTCGTCAATGGCTCTTTGTCAGATGCGGAATAAGGGCAAAATCAATAACACGGGCTCTTATAGCGACAATGGCTGAGAACGGAAATCTTACAGAGCCAAATGGATCCAAAAAAGACTGATAACGGCCAGCGGTGGTTGCAAGACCTCATTTAATTGCTAAAATTGTTGTCATCGCTTTCCAAAGTCAATGGTGAAATTAGCACATGTATTCGTACAGTCTCAGTGAAAAACAGACAAAAAAAAATTGGTCATGTCGCGTAGAAAACCGCTGTCTCTGTTTGTCTACGAACTTTGAAAAGTCTGACTGACGTGCAATATTCTATTTAATGCTGTAACAAATAAAATTAGGATACAAAGCGTTTTGGGAAATATTTATTGATCCGTGAAATTGATGTATTCATAAAAAAACGGTGCCCGAACGGTATTCAAGGCAGGGAACATAGCAAAAACAGGAAGTCAATTACCGAGAAATGAAAAATAAAAAATGAAAAAGCGAGAAATGCAGAATGTATAGGTCGAAAGGTTTTTTGGAATAAGGTAGAATTTTGGTAAGAATGAATAACAAAAAGGGAAAATTAAGGAACAAACATTTCTCTTAAGTACGCGAAGATAACTAGAGCGTTTTCACAACTTCCATAGATTCCGCATGGCCAAACCAAACTGAATCGTTATCCAATATTCTTTATTTCAATACCAATGGTTGGTATTGGTAATTATAAAGCCGTTCAGTGCATCAAAATCATGTTCATAGCAAATTCGAATTTCTTCGCCATCGGCCCGGCGCATTTCGGTCCTACCATCCCGGCGCATCTGGCTATGAAAATTCTGCGCGTGATTCCTGCTACGATGGAATTCCATGCGGATGGCACGGACCAGTCGCTCCTCAAGAGGGAGCAAATAAATACTGATCCTTTCAATATCCCGATGGCCGGATTTCCATTCGGCGAGTAGTTTGTCCAAAAGCGGTAGAATCGGCTGATCATCCGGCAGTTTGATGTCCAACGAAAATTCAGGGCATTTCAGCTCGAACATGAGCTGTGCTTCCACGGTCCCCTTTAACGTTAGTCCCTGAATATTCGCATTCGCATATTCAATCAGTTCGCCGAATGCTTTGCCCAGGTCATCCTTGATCTCGCATGATAAGTGGTGGTACTTCCCGGTTTCTGGCTTCATCTTTCTCAATATCGTCATCAAATAGGTACTCTCTACGGGAGACCTAAAGCATTTGCTATCATCATGTCGAAATTTCAGAAGGTCGAAATTTCGAGACGTCATATTTCGAAAATCATAATGTCGACATTTTTTGCATGGGGATCGCCGGGGGGCGGAAAAATAAATTTATGTAAATTTCGACATCATGGAATTTCGACATATAAAATTTCGACGTTATGAACGAGACAGACAGAGAGACAGATAAAGGGAGAGAGAGAGAAAGAGAGTGACAGAGAGTGAGAGATAAAGAGAGAGAGAGAGAGAGAGAGAGAGAGAGAGAGAAAGATAGAAAGAAAGATGAGTGTGAAAGACATATAGACATAGATAGAGAGAGAGAGATAAAGAGAGAGAGAGAGAGAGAGAGAGAGAGAGAGAGAGAGAAAGATGAGTTTGAGAGACACATGGAGATAGATAGAGAGAGAGAGATAGCTAGAGAGAAAGAAAGAAAGAGAGAGAGAGAGAGAGAGAGAGAGAGAGAGAGAGAAAGAGAGAGAGAGAGAGATAAAAAGAGAAGATGTCGTAATATGATGTACGATATTTTGAAAGAAACCCACTTGAAAGTTACACTCCGGGCCTTCATACGAGCGGGAATCGAGGGCCTTTTACGGAATATCACTTCATTCACTGTAATCCCAGCAAACAATAGTTGCCGGGCCCGAAGGCTGTTCAAGTTCAAGTAGAAGCCGTTGTTGAGGCTCTTTCCGACCCAGGCCCGATTGTCCGCCCAAAACCCGACTTCGCAGTCCATCCGGCCCACGGCGAATTCCTCGGTCATTCTCCAGAGGACCCGACTCGCGCATGCGTAACGGAAACGAGTCTTCAGGTCGGTGGTGCTCATAAAATCCAGGAGACGGCGGTGGAAGTCTGTAGGTAAATTCAGGAAATCGGTCTGGACGGGCATCTGCAAACAGATGAATATTTATACCGAGTAAGATGTGTGGGAGAAAACACGAGAAACAACGAGAAAAAGAGCGAGAGGCAGGGCGAAAGAGGGAGAGAGCGAGAGAAAGAGAGAGCGAGCGAAAGAGAGAGAAAGACCGAGAGCGGGGAGAGCGAGAGAGAGAGAGAGGGGGCTAATAAAAAAAAGAGAAAAACTATTGAAATCCATAACAAACGGACTCGGATTCCGGCCAAAACCTTTTTGACCTTTTGGGCTAGGCGTCACCTTTTGAAAGAGTATTCGATACGACATAATTTCCCGCTGCCCCAGAATTGCCCCGGTTCTTTTTTTGTGACGCGTCGATGTCTGCCGTAATAGCCCCGGGCAGGTCGAGGAACGGTCGAAGTCGAGTGTTAATCTATGCGGCTTTTGAAAAACGTTCTGATATCGATTTTTTTAACACAAGGAGTCTTTATTAATCGTCGTTCGTGTGGTGCATCTGTAGTTGTTCAGTTCATTGCATTTGCATTTGCAAAAAAAAATCGGCCTCCTCTAGCGGGCGGCAGAAGGGTCCGATTTTGACGATCGACGATCGGACGTCCGTTTTTTAGAAAATCTTTTTATATCGAGCGCGGACTAAAAAAATTGCAAGACAAAAACGAAAGCTGCAGATTTTGTGCAAAATCAGTATGTTAATTGGTAGGAGAAGCAAACAGGACGACGCTGATTTTACTCTTTTATAAGAAATCGTTGAATATCTAACGCAAGCTAAAACATTGTGTAAAACCATTTTCTCGCCTTTCGAAGGCTTTCGAATGGCGTAAAAATTATCCCGATCCGGCCATTTTCCGGACCGCTAGAAGGGAGTCGATCGGGGCACCCTGATGGGAAATATTGTTAATGTTGCGCATGGGTTTCTGATGTTCGAAACAATCAGCTTGTTGCTGTTTTCTGTGTTTTCAATTAGTTTTTCTCACAGCATCCGTCAAAAAAAAATTTATGAAAGCGGGGCCAGCACTTACAAGTTAAATTGAAGGAAATAACAACAATAACAAAAAGAAATTATCGAAGCAAGGGGGAAGTTCTATAGAAAATTGAGTGAAATGACGCAAACGATGGCTTATCAGCCTAATTTAACGCTCGTAATGTAAAGGGCGTTTTTTATGGTGCGATAGATGCGAAGTTGCTTTTTGTCGCTTCGATCAAGCGTCTGAATTCTTGTCAGGGGCCCGAAGTGCTCGCCAAGCTGCCAGAGGTCAATTTCTCGGATCCCAGCTTGCCACTCTGCCACCAGAGTCTTCAGGAACGGCCGAACTTTTTCTAAATTTTTAATATGTTTCGAGATTCTTCAGGGAAAGCTTGTACTTTTTATATTTTTTTGCGCGTGCAACGTCGCTTGCTGGAGCAGCGTAAAATGACTAGAAGTCTCAAGGACAGCTCCAAGGATAATTCGAAAATTTGGAATTTCGAAAAGCGGGTTTTGATGTTTTCACCATTGAGTGCAGAAAAGAAGTAATTAACTAAAACATCTTAAATATACCAAGCAATTAAAATTCAGCGCGAAATAACGTCATTCAACATAAATACAGCAAAAATATACAAAATCCGAAAAACCTGTTAGGCTATTTCCACGTTATGAGTTTTATTGTCATGTTTCAGTTGCCCAAAACTCAAAAGCTCTCTTTTGGGATCACGAGATTATTTTTAATATTAAACTTTTCGCGGGATTCGTGAGTGCCATGCGATAGCGCTTCGAAAAATATACTAAGAGAATTATTCGCAGCACGAAATGTTCTACAAAAATTTTATAGCACAAACCAGCGCTGACCCTCTCCCCTCGACAATTTGAATTTGGAATTTTAAAGCAAAATTTGGCTGAATTCCCGGTCGGGCGGTCGGCGGGCGGGCGGACATTAGAAATTTATATATAGCAGATCTTTGCTTGAAAAGTATCTTACCGAGATCATCAGCATCGACGACAAACGTGAAGGTTGGACACCGCAATTGGCCCCAATGCTCGGCGTTTAGCGATCGGCGCAGGTAGAACCTTTCACAATGCGCGTTGATGTAGCTGATCAGCTCCGGGGTCGGCCTGGCGCTATTTAACAGCTTCACGCACTTATACTTCCCCGTTGGTGGCTCCAACCTCCGAAGCAACGCCTCGCAAGGTTCTGACCTGATCCCTAGCTGTAGGTTCCACGCCCTGAGGCCGGAGATGAACCCGAACTTTGGCGACTCGTGAATCCGCGCCTCAAACACGGTGGTCCCGGATAATAGTAGCACTTGTGTGCGGAACGGAATGAAACCCATAAAAGTAAAGTAATTATCGCCTGGCGGCTTTTCTCAAATGCCGACCACTTCGCGGTAGATATTGAGATCGCACATCAATCGGTTGTCCGTTGACTCCTCCGTCATCCTCCATAAAAATCGACATGTGCGCGCGTAGCGGAATCGCGTTTTCATTGGCGCGCTGCCCATAAAATTCAGGAGACGTCGGTGGAAGGTGGCGGGCAGATCGACGAGACCTATCGGGTCCTCTTGTGCATTATCTTCTCTTCCTTGCTGTTCTTTCTGAAAAGATTGCAGGTTTATCGATTTGTGATATGGGGCTAGACTTTTCTTTACCCCACCCCCGCAACCGGAAAATCCAAACATTGTTTTGCTGCCTGCGATAAGTATTAAATTAGGTAACCAGAGGTAGATTTGACATTCGATTGTTTTGAACTATGATTTTCAAAAACTTTTGTAACCTTTTGGATGAAGTATGGAATGGCATCCCCAAAATAACGAAATCCCGTGCCCTTTTGGATGGGGGACAGGCTAAAGTAAAGCCTTGAACCTAACGTAAAACTTACAATTTTTATTGGCTTCAATTTTCTAAGGATTTTGCCGCGACACGCAACGCGGGGCTCAATTCGCGGTTTGTGTAATAAGCTGCGAACTAGTGACACATGCATTGCGCATCGTGAAAGGCTAGAATTTTTGGGTAGCTTTTTTTAGTCCTGGAATTCCTTTTTTTCCCTGAAAGGGACGGCAACACAGGGCTAGGGTTTGATTACAGCTGCTGCCGCGCTCGCGACGCGCTCGCGACAAGCAACGAGCAGGGTTGCGTTTCAAAATTCACGACAGTCCACTTTTTTCCGCACCCCGTGCAAGCGTAGCGTGTAGCGTAGCGTAGCGTGTAGCGCACCCGGTTAAATCCTTCCTGGAGCCGTAAGCAGCCCAGTCCGTATGCAGGTCTTTCCCGTCCCTTTAAACAGCTCCAGCCGTTACCTCATGAAATACTTGACGCACAAGGTGTTTCCAAAGGCATCGGATGAGGTACAGGAAACGCTCGTAGAGATACAACAGGAACTCCAAGAAGTCCATGGCGTAATTTCACTGAAAAAGTTTTTAGAAATGCCGGATTTGGCTAGGAAGCCGAAGCAAGCGCTGAAAATTGAACTGTTATATATGACTATCTTGAAAATTGTAAGGGTTGCTAATTTGAAATGTAATCGTTCGGGTTCCGCTACTTCCTTTGGTGCATAAACTTGACCTGACCCAGTTTTTGACCCTGCGAGCTGGGCGCGACCTTTGAATGGTAGGATCGATGAAAACCGTGAATCCACGTCGCATCCGCATCTGGCCTCCGGGCATACTGTAAATTACCGTATCCTTTTGAAATTTTACGATCATTTTCGCCAATCCTAATAAAACTAAATTAAAATTTCCTAGCGTTCTAAAATCACTTGTCGACAATTGGAATTTCGAAGCTTTGAATTGCTATTTCTTACGCTCTATGGCCATGTACGAGCGGTAGCCGGATGTCAATTTTCGGAAAAGTGAGTTCCAAACGGGTATTAGCGTCATATGACCTAACTTTTCACACTTTGCACCACAACATTTTACGATAGCCAAGTTTCCGAAAATCGCTTTCCAAAAACTGTTTTGTTGGAACACAATCTTCATTGTTTTTTCACTGGTGGTATTTTGTGTCGGTAATTGTACGTCTGAGTTTCGAGAAAATTATCTCTCTCTCTCTCTCTCTCTCTCTCTCTCTCTCTCTCTCTCTCTCTTGTTTGTCTCAATTGGGTTTGTT